TCTCAGTAGGCAAGCCCAGGCTCCCACTCTTATTGGCACATGGGTATCCAGGGAAGCTGTCCATGCCTTGAGCCTCCTCTAGGGCCAAGGCTGGGGGCGCTGCCCTGGGCTAGCTAGCTAATCTACTTGGGTTTCAGTCCTGTGGCACACAGCCCATCCCCTTTCCTTCCTTGGATGTAATGCTGCCAAGGTTGACTTCCTAGCAACTGAATTTGAGCCATGCCAAGCTTTCTGTAAATCCTGCTAAAAATGTATTTGTATTAAACAAGAGACATCCCTCAGATCTAGACATTAGGTGTGGAACTGACTAAAAGTCTCCATTTCTAACTCATTCAGTTGTTGTAGGGACACAAACTAAGACATAATTTCTATATTAGCGACGATGCACCCTGAGCCTGGCACCCTGTGGTGACCATATTTTTCTCTTGTCCATTCTGATTGTACAACCCCCTTTGTCTGGTAGTAGCACCCCCTTTCCTATGGTAAAATTGTTCCTCAGTCTATATCATCCTGATGGGAGAAGGAAGCTTGTCCTTCTGGCTTCCAGTTACCCAACTATAGGGAGATCCAGGGTGAACCATTCATAATCCTGGATCTCACTGAACACAGAATGGCCCAAGGAGTATGGTGGGGAGAGAAAGAGAGAGAAGGAGGAGGAAGGAAGAGGAGGTCGTTTAAAACTTAGAACCTGTAGAATAGAACACAACTGAAGTCAGTTACACTCCCTGGGCAGAACAGTAGAGTGTGTATGTATGTGTGTGTATTGGGATTATAGATGATTTATGTTTTCTGTGGTTTTGAATTTTTTTAAATAAAAAGAAAAATGCAAACAGAAAAAAGATAAATATATTCCAACAGAAGGAATTCAATGTTTCAATTCAATATATGCTATTTATACTATGAAGCTAATATTAAATAATACTGATGATACACAGTAAGCCAAAAAAAGGAAGGAAGAATCTCACAAACATAATGTTGAGCTCAGGAAGCCAGACCCCAAAGAGGACATGCCACGTGATTCCATCAATATAAAGGTTAACAACAGGCAAAATCGAAGCTGTTTATCAGAAGTCAGGAGAATGATTACCCTTGGAGCATACTGGAAGGGCATAAGAGGAAGACTTCTGGGTGGATGGAAATGTTCTCTCAGCTGGCTGCTGGTTATGGGTACATACGCAGTTTGTGAACGTAGATCAAGCTGTGCACGGGTGATTTGTACACTTTCCTGTTTGTTATACTTCAGTGGAATGTTAACTTTTTTTTTTTTTTTTTTTTTGACAAACCTTGTCCTGTATCACCTACATCAGTCATTCAGGAATGATGGCGAGGTTGTTCTGGTATACTTAAGGGGATGTATCCGATAAGTTTGTTGTATTTCACATCATCTTTTTCAAATTCCAGACTAGTTCTTACTGGTTTGAAAATTAATGACTTTTGCACTTGCACTTCTTCAGTACTTCCTTGATTTTTGCAATTCTCAGCAAAATGCTCTGCATCTGCCCTTCTCACAACTTACTGTGGCATTGAAGGTGTGGTGTTCTGGACCTTGTCTGTGATTCACATTCTGAAAGGGTAAAGAGAAGCCAGCCCTCTCTGCTTTCTCCAGATGATAATGTAGGCATGCCCAGCGGTTTATGGAAGAATAGAGGGGCAGTTACTGAGCTGCACATACGTAAACATTCCTAGATTTTAGATGTAGTATATGTAAATGTAACTAGTCTGGCTAAATATTATGGTTTTAACAACAAGCACCAGTTTCCTCTTTGGGAGTAAGTTATCTTTTATCGGGCAGAAGTTCCCTAATACATCTCTGTGATGGAAATAAAGATCCCAAGGACCTGGCCTGGGTGTTGGTTGATTTCAGGGTTTCAGAGAAAAAAAGGCATAGTGGGTCTTCATAAGAATGGGGAAGGAATGGATTGTGGTTCTTTGGTGTAAAGGAAGCTAAGAGAACAAAGGCATTTCAGGAAAGATGAGTGGAAGTCCTTAGTGTGGTGAGGATATTTTAAAAATGGAGATACTAGCATATTTGATTTCATTTATTGAATTAATCTGGTACAAATCCTAACTGTAAACTCCGCTGATTCAGTGGTTGCCTTGTGTGAACGAGATTTTAAAATGGCACCTGAAGACAGGGCCGAGTTTCTCATTCAGATTGACATCATGCATGTTATCAGAGAAACAGAGACCAGGGAAAGAAGGAGCTCAAGGAGGCAGATGAGGCCCCAAGGAATGAGCCTCTGGGTGTGTGTTGAATATTTTTGTTAGGCCTTTGATTTCCATAGCCATGGAAATGCACAGGTCAAGGGACTGGGGAAGGAGGAGGACATTCAGGCAGGGAACCCAAATGAAACTAAGTTACATAAATGTAAAAGTGAGTTATCTGGAAATCATTCTTCCTACCACATTGTAAGTGGAATTTTACAGTACTTTTATTTATTTTTTTTAAAAATATTTATTTCCTTTGAGAGAGAGAGTGAGAAAGCAGGGGAGAAACAGAGAGAAGAGAGAATCTCAGGCAGGTTCCCTGCTGTCAGCACAGTCTGATGTGGGGGTCGAACTCACAAACTGTGAAATCTTGACTTGAGCTGAAACCAAGAGCCAGTCACTTAACTGACTGAGCCACCCAGGCACCTCAGTACTTTTAAATATGTACAACAGCTCAATAGTCCTCAACACTTTTGTAGAAGAGAAAGTTGTGCTTTGTTTTACAAAGCAATAACTTATCACAGATTTGAGAGTTTATGACATGCACCACCCCTTGTGCTATATGCATTGAGCAAAGCAGACATGGCCATGGCTTGTGTTTAGACTTACGGTCTAGCAGAGGCAGCAGAAATAAACAAATTATTATAAAAGCATTGTGTCCAGTGCAGGAAGTCAAGATCCTATGGGAGTCTATGATAAGAAGTGCAAACTCATCTGGGGAAAAAAAAAAAATATCTTAAGGATGAGGATCAAGAAGGCAGGCTATGTCAAGTTGCCTTAAAGATCAATAAAAAAATGGTATAAAAAGATAGAGGCACCCAATTGATATACAAACCTGGCTCATGTCAACCCATTTCAGCTAGCTATTTAATATTCCTGATAGCCCATCAGATTTCCCAGTAAACCTATCTGTATGGAAAATACAGAGGGAAGTATATTGAATTTGAGTGTTACATTTAATTAGTTTAAAAGTTCTCTCGAGTTTTATACATGATCCCTTTGAAAAGTTATTCAAACCATTAACTTTTTCTTTCTAGAAACAAAATGTCATTTAAAGAGTGGTTAAGAGTGCCTCTGCTTTAATATAAAGGCCAAAGAACTAAAATTCTGTGATTCTACACCTTAAGCATCAAATCTTATCAACAGATAACACAAATGTGATCTTTAACATTAGAAAGTCTATGTGTTTAAAGAACTAAACATAAAATTGTAGAATGATTTTCCCCATTAAAATGGAAATATTTAAAAATATAAAAAATAACCAATCATGGCAAGATAATTTCCAAAGAGGAACACTGGTTGAGAATTTAAATCAGTAGCCTTTTTTTGGTGGGGGGAGGGGGTGGGAAAGAATTTGTAAAAAAGTTAAATTGTATCTTTCCTTTACTTCAAAAATCTTATTTTTAGGGGAATGCTCAGATTTATTTTCACATTTACATACACATATATGTATAAAAAAGTTCTTATATGGTACCAGTGTTGGTAGTTATTAAAAATAGGAGCACCTGGGTGGCTTAGTCAGTTAAGCATCTGACTCTTAGTTTTGGCTCAGGTTATGATCTCATGGTTCCTGAATTTGAGCCCCGAGTTGGCTCTGCACTGAGAGCAAGGAGCCTGCTTGGGCTTCTCTCTCATGTCTCTGTCATGTCTCTCTCTCTCTCTCTCTCTCTCTCTCTGCCCCTGCCCCTGCCCCTGCCCCACTCATGCTCTTTCTCTCTTTCTCAAAATAAACAAATAAACTAAAAAAAAAAAAAAGCCCGGAAACAGTCGAAATGCCTATCATTTGGGGAACTAGTATAATATAAAGCATAGTTTATCCAAATAACCAAAGATGGGATAGCAGGCAGCTATCAAAAGCTATTATGTTATAAGAACAGTGGATAACCTGATAAGATGTTCAGAATATATTATGTAAGGAGTAGAAGCTCCCAGTTGCGACGTAGAGCAGGTACTCGAGTTGGGTGCTGGAAGAGGGAATCTTTCCCCTTCTTCCATTCCACCATCGACCTGTAAACATTCTCAACTTGGAGAATGCCAACAGGAGCACTTTCAACCATTTCAGGAGGAAAAGTGGCTATTTTGTTTTCTGAGTGTAATGAAGTATCTGACTCCATTTTTTGATGTTTGATAATGGCTCTTAAGTCTCAGCCTTCCCTCTTTCCCATCTGCTCCACATCTAAGCAAGCTGGTAAGAAAGCTGATGCTGCCTCCTGTGGGTACACTGGCAGATTCCAACCAATCAAAGCCCTGCTCACATAGGGTAGCCCTCACCCCGGCCTATTCCTGGGCCACAATAACAAACCCACACCAGTCGCCTTTTACTGTACTCTGGAGCTCATTTCCAGACCAGCTGGGGAGCCTACCTTGCTCTCCCCAGAAAAGTAAGTATATGAGTAATAAGTCTTTTCAAAGCTTCTCAGTGTGTGCAAGTAGTGTATCTTGTGTCGTCAGTCTCTACATCTCAGCCACATTTTGGGTGGGGGGTCCATCTTATTTCTGCAGAGTGGCTACATCACTGACCTTCATGTCCATTTGGCTGTGTCCCAATCTCTTAGTGAGTCTTCACTCCAAAGCACCTATCTATGCTCCGTACTGTGATTCTGGGGACTAGGCTTTGCAAACCACATCCCTCCTTTGCCACTTCTCCTCCCATTAGGTTCTAGAAATAGCCTTGGTCTGGAGGAGAGTGAAGGGGCTTATTCCTCTGGATTACTTACTTTTCTCACCAGCCTGGCTTGAGGAGTGACTCCTCCCCGTGTAGTGGCAGTTAGCTCTAGCTTCCAGACTCTCCCCAGCACGAAGAACCAGTTCTGTCACGAACCCTTAGAAAGACCAGCTCCAGCCAGACTGTACTTCTTGGAGATCTAAGTCATAGCTCTGTGAAATTCCTTTTGCAAGCTCCTGATATCCCAATATCTGCTGGCTGGTACCCACAGGACCACTTTATGCTTCGAGGTATGGATAATCCTAACCTCCTTTCTTTGTTCCTTATACCTTGTTACCTGCTTCTTGAAGTTACTCCTTTATAACCTATTTCTTTTTGTTTTCCTTTTTCCTTCTCAATTCCCTCTATTAAATTCTCTCTGCTAAACTTATGGGTATGGTTTCTGTTTCTCTGATTTGATCCTTCCTACTACAAACAGAAACTTGTACTAATGGGTGAGGCCACTTTATCTCTGCCTTGTAGATTTGAAAGAAGAGCTTGGGTTTCTCTTTGGTTTTCCTGCTTCCAGTTGCTAAGAACACCTACAGAAGTGCTTAGGGTCAACCTCCTAGAGCTGAGCCCAGATTTCCATGATTCACTCTTTTTCCTCTGCTTTACATTCTTTGTTTGTGAGGTAGGCATATTTTCCATAGAGCTGACTAGGTGAGTACAGTCCGACATAATTCTCCCCACAGTAGATCTGAGGGCATAGGTGTGGCAAATGGGTTATTAGGAGGACCTCTTTTTAACATGAGATGTCAGCTACATTCTCTAATCTTGCCCTAGAAAGGACACCCACAAGTTTGAAATTATTAAGCCTCTGTTATTATTACCTCCACATTTGACACCTTGTTTCTCTTTCCAGTGCTTGTTATAACCTGGAAAGGGGGAATTTATTTCCAAAATAAATTTCCAATTTATTTCCTTAATTTCCAACAGGCAGAAATCAAACAGAAGGAGACTAGAATAGTATTCCCCCAAATACGTGTAACAACTGTTATCTCTGGATGATTTTTATAGGTTTATATCTTTTATATCTCTCTGAATTTCACCTATACTGAGCTTGTATCATATTTTTATTAAAGAATGATTATAATAACATTTTTAAAAAGAAAGTAAATCTAGAGAGAAATTACACTATGAGAGGAAAAATTGAACTCTCAAAAGCATGAGATTTATAATCAAGTCATGTTGTCTCAGCCATGCCCCCAGTTTCTTGTGTATCCTCCCAGCCAAGAGGAGAAACAATGGTCCAAAGAGTGCAAGAAGAAACTAACCCAAGCAGAGGCACATAAAGGGCTCATTTTAGAAGCATAAGCAAAAGAGAATGATTAGGTAGGGGATGAAAGTAGATGTGCAGTGGACAAATAAGGGTAAAGTGGAGGGAAGAAAGAGCCCAGAGTTTGCACGCAGTGGCATCTGATCTACCACCATCTATGGAGATTTCCTCAGAAAAGGAGGTTGGCTCCTGGCCCCAGCTGGCAGCTTCTCCAATCTCGCTCTCATGTCAGACATCTGTCAGCACTCTGTGAGGACCATTGGAAATCAAGGCCATTCACAGTTTGTCTTGGACCTCTTCAAGTCTTCCCACCCCTACTGGCTACTGAAAAGGAAAGGGGAAAAAAGTTATAAAGTTTCTCTAGCCACAGTGAGAATAGCCAAAAAAAGAAAAGAGAACAAGACAGTCTTAACAAAGGAGAAGTGTTCCCAGGACGCCTCATTGTCAAAGGCTCCATTCATTCATTCATTCCCCCAAATGTTTATTGAGCATAACTATGTGCCAAGCATGGCAGTCAGCACTGGTGACACATTATTAATGTCAACCTGAGCTAGGCGTCCTTTATCTTGCCCTATGTTCTTCCGTCAAACAAACTAGAGCTCCTCCAGCCTCAACTCACTTCCACCCCTCTTAAGATGTTCTCTTTCCCCTGAGAGCAGAATATAGATTGTACCTAACACATGCCTAGATATCTGGGAAAGGGGAAACAAGACAGGGGAGCTCATCTTCAGTTGACTACCCAAAGGGGCACATATCTAACCAGTGATGGCTTCATCTGCTTTCAGTTGACTCTGAAACTTTAAGCTCAAGAATATATACTTGTACTAGGTGTCAGTCTTCAAAAGTACAAACATACATAAATGCTTTTTACATGTTTATACCTTTGTTCATGCTACTTTTTCTGGATTTTCCTTTATCATTTTTCTATTTGCTGTCAAGTTCCTACATAATTTTTTGTTTGTTTTTTTTCTTATGAAATATTCTATGTCATGTATACAAGATGTATATCTAATGTGTGTTGTAGATAGATGATAGATAATATAGAGAAGATAGATAGGTAGAATAGATAAAGGATGGGGCACCTGGGTCCACTTCAGCTCAGGACATGATCTCATGGTTCATGAGTTTGAGCCCCAAGTCGGGCTCTGTGCTGATAGCTCAGAGTCTGGAGCCTGCTTCAGATTCTGTGTCTCCCTCTCTCTCTGCTTCTCCCCTGCTCACACTTTGTCTCTATCTCTAAAATAAATAATAAAAAATTAAAAAAATAGATAAAGGAGCATTAAGAAAACAACCGTGTATACTCCATCCGACTTCAAAATTAGAACATTACAGAACCGTTCAAGCTGCCTGTGTGCCTTTCCCTGTATGCATTCCATTATCCCGCTCTCAGCTTCCAGAGGTTAACCACTATTCTGAATTTTGTTTTTATTATTAACAAATCCCTTGTTAACTGTCCCTTATTTTTATTTATTAACTATCCCTTGTTCTTCTGTACTGAATTCTCTACAAATGTATGCCTCTGTTTACTGTATCTGTTTTATACCTTTACATAAATGGAATCATACTATATGTATTTCCTCATGAATTACTACTTGCAATCAATCTTATGGTTTTAAATTAATCTATGTTGAATTTTGCACTACTTTTTTCTTTCTGCTGTATAATATTCCATATAATGACTGTACTGCAATGTATCCATTCTACTGATTACAGGAATTGGAAATGTTCATGGTTTATTGCTAGTAAAATCAGTGTTGCTGGAAACATCTGAATAGAATGTCTCCTACTCTATATGCACAAGTTTCTCCTAGGCGATATTCCTAGAAATATAATTGCTGAATTTAGGGCTTTTAAAATTTGGGAGTTAATACCAGTGTACTTTCACTGTGTTTGGATCAATTTACATTCAATTGGCATGATATGAGAGTTGCTGTCGCTCTATGCCCTTTACAACAATCAATATTATTAGACATTTCCAATGCAAATTGTTATGCTGTATTGTTTGGCATTTCCTTTTTAAATGGGCATTTTAAAAAATGTTTATTGGGGGGCGCCTGGGTGGCGTAGTCGGTTAAGCGTCCAACTTCAGCCAGGTCACGATCTTGCGGTCCGTGAGTTCGAGCCCCGCGTCAGGCTCTGGGCTGATGGCTCAGAGCCTGGAGCCTGTTTCCAATTCTGTGTCTTCCTCTCTCTCTGCCCCTCTCCCGTTCATGCTCTGTCTCTCTCTATCCCCAAAATAAATAAACGTTGGAAAAAAAAAATGTTTATTGGTTCTTATGTTTCTGCTTCCATGAAATATCTACCCACAACTTTGTTCATTATTACATGTAGCTACATGCTCTATAATCAATATATTTTATTTTTTAATTAATTAAATTTTAATGTTTATTTTTGAGAGAGGCAGAGTGCAAGCATGGGAAGAGGCAGAGAGAGACAGAGACACAGAATCTGAAGCAGGCTCCAGGCTCTGAGCTGTCAGCACAGAGCCCGACGCAGGGCTAGAACTCGCGAACCGCAAGATCGTGACTTGACACTTTAGTTGGACACTTAACCGACTGAGCTAGGTGCCCCTAATCAATATATTTTAGATACTAATGCTTTTTATTGTTGTTAAATGCCTCAGATACCTTTTCCAAATGTGTGGCAAGCTGTAGTTTCACTTTCTTTATGCTATTGATGAACATAGCTTCTTAATTTAAAAAATGTAATTAGCTTTATCAGTCTTTCCCTTTTTGATTTGTACTTATTTATCTTTTTTCATATTTTTACACTTCAAAGTCACATATATATTCCCCTTTTCTAAAATTTAATTTTTAAATTAATTTTTACATGTAGTATAAGGAAACATGTTCTTTTATTTTTCCAATGGCAGGTTCCATGTATTTATCCATCCTTTCCATCTCTGTTCTGCAGTGTCATTTTTGTTGTATATTGCTTATATAAATGCCTATCCCATCACTTAACTTTCTGTTTGATTCCATTAGTTTGCCTATAGCTGCAGCAATCTAAAGAGCCTTAATTAGTAGAACTTCAAACAAGTCCTACTCTGTCCCTAGGCAAATTCCCCTGTCGTGTTTGTTTTTCAGGAGTATCTTAGTTTCTTTTTGTCTTTTAATATAAATTTCAGAATTAGCTTGTCAATTACACACACACACACACACACACACACACACACACACACACATCTTACAGAGATGTTGATTGATACTGCATTAAATCTATTAATTTAGGGAGAATCAATATCTTTAATAGATTGAGTATTTCTGTCTATGAATATTTCATGTTTCTCTACCAATTAAGTATGTAAATTGATACAGTCATTATGGAAAAGAGTATGGACAATCTTCAAATAACTAACCATAGAACTATATTATCCAGCAGTCCTGCTTCTGGATGCGTATCTGAAGGAAACAAAATCAGAAAGAAATATCTGCACTCTCATGTTTATTGCAGTATTATTTACTATAGCCAAGATATACAAACAATCTAAGTGTACATGGATGGATGAATGGATAAGGAAAATGTGATATATTACATATATAATATAGTACATATATAATTATATATTTATATAACATAATAATATAATATCATAAAATACATCATATCTATTATATATAATAGAATATAATTCAGCCATGAGAAAGGATGAAATCTTCCCATTTGTGACCACATGGACAAACCTAAGAAGACATTATGCTCAGTGAAATAAACCAGAGAGAAAAAGACAAATACTGTATTATCTCACTTACATGTGGGATCTAAAAAACAAATACAAAACAGTTGAACTCAAAGAAATAGAGAGGGATGCCTGGCTGGCTCAGTCTGTGGAGCATGCAACTCTTGATCTCAGCGTTGTGAGTTTAAGACCCGCGTTGGGTGTTGAACCTACTTAAAATTAAAAAATAAAAATAAAAGAGGGGTGCCTGGGTGGCTCAGTCAGTTGAACATCTGACTCCAGCTCAGGTCATG